TCATGGGGCCTCCTAAGAGAATTTCATTGAATCACCTTGCCCCGTTCACCTGACTACCCTGATCTTTACCCTGCAGAATTCTTTTCCCCCCAAAATTCAAAGCACATGTCAACTGAACATAACACGAGTGCTTCAATGATGCCCAGACTGACATTTTGACGTGGGACAAATTGAAGGGTCGGGACCATTGGGGGAACGGTCACAGAGATGCAAACTCTATCTTCAGAAGTTTGCCCATCTAGGAGGAGGATCTATTAAGGAACAATAGCTTCACATTTTGATATTTCTGTTTAATGAAGGCTTCTATTATTTTGGAGGAACACATTTTGACTTACCCTAATATACCTGGTTTTCTTGTCTTCGGGTCTTTTTTTTTTTTTAATTAAAAGATCATTTTATTGGGGCCTCATACCACTCTTAACACAATCCACACATTAATTGTATCAGGCATAGTTGTACATATGTTAACCATCGCTCTTTTCTAGACATTTACTTTCTGTCTTCGGGTCATTTTTAGTTTCCTAGTGTTGCTATAGCAAACTATCCTGATAAAAGAGACTTTAAAAATCAATAATTTATTATGATCAGCCAGGTTATACTCTCCCCAAAATCTTTAGGGAAAGATCCTTCCTTGTCCCTTTCAGATATTAGTGTCCCTTGGCATGTGTGCCTGTATTAAGGTTTCCCTTTTCCTCTTTCATAAGGAATACGCTCAATGGGTTAGGACCTACTCTAGTCCAGAATGAACTCATGTCAGCTGGTAACACCTTTAAAGACCCTATTTCCAAACAAGTCATGCATTCAAGTAACAGGGTAAAGGGCATGAACATATCTTTGGGGTACAGGGTTCAATATCAGCACCCAAATGGAGCACGCCCGCCAGGAATTGGAAGCAACCAGTCAAGAGTGACTCACCACAGGACTTCGGCCTATGCTGCGCAGGTAGTAGAGGAGCCCCTTGGCGTGGTAAATTGTGGGCTGGCAATGAGCACTGGGAGAGAGCCATTGCCTATTCAAATCCTCCCCTTTTAGGGAGCATCTGTGGCTAGAAGAGGAAAAAAATCAAATAAATACATATTTAGAAGAAAATAACTTTAGAAAATAAATTCCCACTAGACAATTAAGCTAATGAGTCCATTTTCTCGCTGACTTCTGCCCAGTTGGCATCAACTGCAGATGTCCGGAAATCTACAGATCTGTCCTTAAGCTCTCAAAGTGGAATGATTACGGATAGTTTCAAAAGGAGCTAGAGACATATGAGGACACTTCCAAAAAAATTAGGGGAAGATGAATTGAAAGGTCATGAATTTTTCCACAAACTTTTTACAGCTCCTACATAATTGAATTGATATAGGATTATCAGAGCCTGGGGATAAAATTTGGGGAATTTAGTTTCAGGTCATATTAATCCATGGAGGAAAAATAAATGGTAAATTTCCTTAGGATCTGGTCACAACAATTCTAAAAATAATAATAATAATTAAGTTTAGATCAATCTATGGTGTTTTGTTGTTCCACATAAGACTGGTACTTAGCCCAGTAAGCCTGCAAGGCGGTATTATTGCACCCTAATAAAGGAATCTGGCTAGGAAACTATTAATTGTTGGGCCAGTGTCACACAACTAAGAAATCGACACTCCTGGGTGTGTTTGCTTAGGACTGCTACATTCTTTCTGCGAGTAGACTGTTTCCCTCCTTATCCACGCAGATGGCAGGGAAAGCTTGCCATTTACTCAGAAAGTACCTTTTGCAAAAACACATCAAGGTATATCAGAGTTAAAAATCATGCACCCTTTCATTTGAAAATGAGAATCGTCAGATTTGAAAATATCAAGCGCTTTTACAACTGGTCAATGACAGCTAGTTTGTGCTAACCCGACTGCAATTCAGAGAGAGGAAACTAAAATGATGGACTATCCGGTAATGACTTACTAGCAGCCCATCAACATAGGAGATTGCCAAGTGCAGGGGATGAGAGGGGTTGCATTAAGTCCTGTTAATTAATCAATAAATGATAAATAATTTAATATATTGAGTTAATAAACACAGTTCCCCAGATTGGGAAACACCAGCTCTATCATGTAGTCCTGCCAATCCCCTCTTGCCTTTCTGGACTTCAGATGATCCAATTGCTTACAGTCTCCTCTAAGTAATTGTGCCTGCTGACCCCTTGCCAGGACTCTCTCCCTTTTCTTTCCTTTGAGCACATTCAACTTTCAAGGGATCAGCTACACAGAGAAACATTTCCTAATCCACACGATCATTACCCTTATATCGATTTGGAGTCAGCAATCACATGTGTTATAGGGTAGAACTGGGTTTCATGGGGTTCTTGAGTATAATCTTTATGGATTCAGTCACTCAGATCTTTATTCTGCAGTAGTATTGGGTGAGATCAAACCACCAACCATGTGGTTATGAGTCAAGTACAAATACTTTGCTAGTCAAGTGCAAACAGGGCCATTAATGCAATAGCATGCTGATGACCACTTAATAAGAGCCCATATAATATTGTTAGTGATCATGCATTTGCTTTTCTTCTCTTGACTTCCCCATTAGATTGTGTTTCTGGGGGCAGAGATAGTCTCTTACCATCTAAACCCCAATATAATAATGGGTTCAGAATTTTTATATAGTGAATAATTTTGCATGAATAAATGCAGTAGCATTAATATGGACTACATAATCTATTTAAAATTTAAGACTAGTTTAAATAAATCTTAAAGATAAAGCAAATTATAAGTTTCAACCTCCTTCTTTCACTGCTTTTTTATCGTGTTTCTGTAATTATCTTAAATCTTAACTTCCTACTACTTGCCAGGCCCTCTTACAGCTCACTGGAAACCAAACATCTTTAGTTTAATCATTCAGTCTGGTTTCATCATTAAAATATTTTTACTTCAGAAATGGTAGGTTTTGTGCATCTTCCACTCTGGCTTGCTATTTTCTTGCCTTTTCCTCCCTTCTGTCTTTTAATAGCAGTGGCATCTAGAAATAGGGCTTATCTCTTCTTCCTGGTGACCACAGATGAAAGGAAAACCTGAACAGATCTTTAATGCAGACAGCAGTGGAAACGAGCAGAAGCTCCGGAGCATATTTTCTAAGACAAATGAATTTCTTTTCCTTTCAAAGTACCTGCAGGCATAACACCCTAGGGCCCTGGGATTCTCTTGATCCACTGTGATTCTCCTAACTTTGACACAAATTCTCATCAATGCTGGGTTTTTTCTTTCTTTCTTTTTTTTTTTTTTTTAGTAACAATGAAAATGCTTAATCAGTTTTGGAGGGATAAATGAAGCCACAGGTGTTAAACGTGTCTTTAGCAAGGACATCTTTGTCAACTCTATCTTCTTTTCCAGTCTATTCTCTGATGCTCACCACCACTTGTCTATCAGTCATACTGTGTGGGTTTGGGTGTGGCTGTCATGCTAGAAGGAAGCTGTGTCACTAGTATTTGAAAGACCGGCCATGTCACCCAAAGTGAATAGTTTTCAACAGAATAAGAACAGACTACCGACAAGGACTAGGCTGGCCATTTCTGAGGAATTCGCCACTGAAAACCTGATGGAGAGAATCAAAGCATGGTCAGATAAAGAAAACTTCCTGGAAAGAAGAACATTGTCAGAGATAAAGGCGAACATGAGCCCCTCATGTGGGAAGGCACCCAAATGTGCCTGAAGTAGAACTGCATGCTCAGAGTAGAGTAGGTCATAATGGTTGGAGTGAAGCTCTTCGAACTAATGCCTTCAGGATCTTCATTGCCTAATGAGGCACAGCTCCAAATGAGGAAAAAGAAAAAGCTGCAAACATCAATTAATAATCAAAACTTGGGATATATGAAGTATGAATCTAGAAAATTGGATGTTGTGAAAAATGAAATGGAATGCCTAAAATCCAGCATTCCAGGCATCGGTGAGCTGAAATGGACTGGCACTAGCGATTTTGAATCAGGAAAGTGTATGATCTCTTATCTTGGAAGTAACACAATCAAGAGGAATGGTATTTCATTTATCATAAAAAGCGAACATTTCAAGATCTATCTTGAAGTGCAGTACACTCTGTTCCTATAAAATTTATATCTTTCTGCTTTCAAAGACATCTAATCCATGCAATTATTACTCAAAGTTATGTACCAATCACTAAAACTAGTGATGAAGAAGTTGAAGAATTTCACCAACATCTTCAGTCTGAAACTGGACAAACATACAATCGACTGGGGAAGTCGGCTGCACAAAATCTCTTTAAAGTGTTGAAAAGTAATTGTGTTCATTTGAATACTAAGGTGTGCCTGAACTAAGCCATGGTGTTTTCAATCACTTTGTAGGCATATGAAAGTTGGACGTTGAATAAAGAAAACCAAAGAAAAAAATCAGTACATTTGAATTATGGTGCTGGCAAAGATGACAGATGTTTAGATTAGATAGCTAGATGATAGATGATAGATAGATAGATAGATAGATAGATAGATAGATAGATAGATAGATAGATAGATAGATAGATATAGAACCCTGGCACAATCAGTTAAGGGCTTATCTATTAACCAGAAGGTAAACATTTCAAGCTCCCCAGAACCTTCATGGAGTTCTGCTTTCAAATAAATTATAATAAAAACAAAACAAAACACTATGGAGGAGTTCTATTCTGTCACTTTCCATGTATGTACGTAAGTATGTGTATATGTGTCTAAAAACTCACTGACATGGAGTCAATGCCAACTCATAGCACCCCTCTAACACAGGGCAGGATGGCCTCTTTGGGTTTCTGAGATGGCAAACCTTTATGGGACTAGAAAACGCCATATTTCTCCTGCACCATGTCTAGTGGTTTCAAACTGCTGGCCCTGCAGTCAGCAGCCACTGCCACAATTCCACCAGGGCTCCTCTAACTAGCTAGCCATCCACTTAAACACACGTGTGGGTGGGTGGGTGTTGTTGGTAGGCCATATTGAGTCAGTCCCAAGACATAGTCGGGTCCATGCACAACATAACAAAACTCTGTAGCCTTGAACCATCCTCACAATCACTGTCATATTTGAGCCTCTTGTTGCAACCATGGTATCCATCCATCTCATTGAGGAACCGCCTCTTCTTTGCTGATTCTCTACTTTTCCAACTGGGAACTGGGATCACTTGTTAATATTTTCAAAGTAAATGAGACAGTCTTGCTATTCTCACTTCTAAGGAGTATTTTAGGTATATTTCTTTCAAAAGAGATTTGTTTCATAGTCTGGCTGTCCATGATATACTAAATTTCTTAGCCAACACCATAATTAAATTCATATCCAAGTAAAAAGAAATGCTTGACACCTTCAGTGTTTGATCCACTGAGTATGATGTTGCTTATTAGTCCAATTGTGAGACATTTTGAGGTTTTGCTTTTTTATATTGAGAAGTAATCCATATAGAAAGCCTGTCTCTGATCGTCATCAGTAAGTACTTCAAATATTACAGTATTTCATCTAGCAAGTTGATGTGTCTGCATAATGCAGATTGTTACTTTATTTTCCTCCAAACCTGATTCCAGATTCTTACTTACACAGTGCAGCTTATTTTATTATTGGTTCTGCATAAAAAATTGAGTAAGAATAGTTAAAAAATAAAATTCTGATACACCTTTCTTGATTTTAAACCACATAATACCTTCTAGTTGTCTTGGAATGACTATATTTTTGTCTATGTATAGGTTCTTATTGAGAACCATTAAATGATCTATAATTCTCATTCTTTGAAATGTTTTCCATAATTGTTATATTCCTACAGTGGAATGTCTTTATTCAGTCAATAAATCATATGTAAACATCCTTCTGGAATTCTCTGCTTTCAGCCAAGGTCCATCTGATGTCAGCAATGAGACACCTCACTCCAAATTCTCTTCTGAAATCTGCTTGAATTTCCGTTAATACCATGTCCAATAACGCCACATCAATTGTCTTCAGCAAATGATTATTTATATGTAATATTAATGACATTGTCCAATAATTTCTGCATTCTGTTTTATCATATTTCTTTGTAATGGACAGGGTGTTCAGATTTACTGGCTGGGTAA